AAGAAATGGTGATTTTTACACCTCTAGTTGTTTCAACTTAAATGAAGATGTTACAACCCTTGATTTTGTAATTATTGTTGTTAAGCATATTAGACGATATTGTAGTAAAGCTACTATTATGTAGGCTTAACTGTTAGACAATCATATTTACTCAACAAATATGCACATCTTTACACGCAAGTGACATACTTAAAATAAATATAAAACCAACTGGGGTTGGTTCAAGTAGTAAAGGTGTGATTGTATATGAGTTGAATAGTAAAAAACTCAATTCAAACTCAAATTTAACTCGACTTTAACTCAACATCACTTTCATCAATATTATTAATATAATTAAATAATATCAACCAATTATTCTTACACATCATATCAACTTAATTAACTATTCATCCACTCACATAATTCTAACTAACTATCACTTCCAATCATTTTTTTCCAACTTTACATCAAATCAATTTTAATTATTTTATTTAAATATTATTTTAATATATCCACTAACAACTAACCATACCATCTTTTTTTCAAAATTAACTATAGTTAATAATAAACCAAATAAATACTAATCCAATCCATAAACAATCACCTCTTAAGCAGCTTGATGTCGCTTAAGCAAGGTCTCGGATTTGAGTCCATGTGGATGCAGAAAACCCTTGTTGGGAGACTCACCCACCACTGCCAGGTGTACGACCCGGGTCGACCAACGGATTAGTCAGAGCATAGCTCCGAATATCGTGGTTGACTACCAGAAAAAAAATATAAACAAAACTATCATGTTTCTCAAAAGCATTAAGCATTTTTGTTGAAAATAAGTATGAAGATACGTTAAACTCAAACTAAAATATTTCACAAGTATACACTTTTTTTTTTTTTAGTACAAAGGAAGGAGGCCGTAGCCTAGCACCTCTAGATAGTCGTGTTCCGTGGATACACAACGCTAAAGACGTCATGCGTTAGCCACGATTTGACTTCTATCGGTGGATCGGGTAGTCGCTGACAACCACTAGGGCATAAATGGGCCAGCGCCGCCAAACAATCCGCAGCGAAATTAGCTTCTCGATAACAGTGCCCGATGTGCACTGTCCAGTCTCGGTGCATCATCTCCCGAACTGCTCTCACTAAAGCTCCATGCACCAAGTATACATTTTTATTATTACAAAAATGTATGAATCACCCAACAATTGTAGAAGAAAAAAGTTATGAGGGGAAATAACATAGGATAGGATTACTCTTTGATGTTCGTGTGACCCAGCTTGAAAATAGTGGCTTGAATAAACCCTCTCCATTAAGATTTTTGACCGCAAGATTTCTCAAGAATCTTTAAACATTTCACAACTAATTACTTCTTTTTGGCCTACAAATAAAGACTTAAAAAGAAGACTGTCATCCCATGGCTTGGATGAAATAATAGGAAAATCAGAACAGATCACATTTTCTGAAGGTAAGTTACATGCAGCTTAGGCAAAATTGCATTTTCTGCCCCGTAAACAGAGGTGTGTGACAAATATTGACAACTTCTTTTTGGTTTGACGAAAGTGCTCTGAAACTTGCTAAAACTCGAAATTCATGCCCAAATTTTGACACACGAAATACCGGTCAAATCTGGTAACTTGTAGATAAATTGGGTATGAATTCCGAGTTTTATAAAGTTTTGAGGCACTTTTGCCAAATCGAAAAGAAGTTGTCCACATTTGGCACGCATGCATAGTTATAGGGCACACTGTTTGATTTTCTTTATATTTTTTTATTCTCATTTTTTTTTTCTCCCAATATTTAAAGCTCTATATCATTGTAAATTTCTTTTGGGATTATTAGTTCTTTTTGTGCTTGAAATTTGAAAGAATAGTTTTTTCTTCAAAAGCATGAATTCTCACAACTAATATTTAGTTCTATTATTTGCTTCAATGATACATTAAGCTGCAGCTTTTGAGTGCAATGATATAAAAACCTCCCAAAACAGCAACAGACAGTATAAGCAAAAATAAATAAATAAATAAATAAAAAATTCCCATAAACTCCAAAAACCTGTTTGAATTTGGAAATGCCTAATGTTTTATCCTTGCTTTGTCTTTTATCTCCAAAAACCTCTTGATCCATGCTGTAAAAATTTCACTCCTTTGTTAATTTAATTTGCAGGTATAACCTTTTAATATTTTGCTCTACAAAACCATGAAGAACTTTGGATTCATTTTACTACTGGGCTTCACCATCCTCGTCCGATCCTCGACGGGCACATTTACTTCTTCAGACGATGAACCATTGTACGATTATTCCGCAAGCACCGAGGTATTTAGATTGTTAAATGAACAACATAAATTGCACAAAATGTTTTTTTTTTTTTTGCTTTTATGATTAAATTTTTCCATATTGTGTTTATCAGTGCAAATCAGTTCCTGAGGAACCACTCTACAACGGTGGTATCATCAAGAACCGAGCAGTCGATCAAATCCCGATAAACTCCTCTGCTTTTGTCCTGAATAACCTCAAGGCCGACACAATCTACACATTTTCCAGTTAAGCTCGGCTCGTAAATAATGATATGGATATATGAACTCCAATCCAGAATAATAATACCTGAATTTTAAAATTTTGGTGATGACAGGTTGGGTTAAGATAACGAGCCAAGAATCGGCTGTGATACAGACGAGCTTGGTAAGTGGCAATTTGACTCTGGTCAACTGCACAGGGACCGTTCTTGCTAGGTCCGGGTGCTGGACTTTCCTCAAGGGCGGATTTTCTCTCGACTCGCCTGTAGACCAAGCTCGTATATACTTTAAGGTACTTTAGAAAATCGAAACTACATGCAATTGTGCAAATTTATTGATAATAATAATATTATGATACGCATTTTGTCTCGTGTCGTGCAGAATGACGACGGGCCACAGATGAATGTGTCGATTTCCAGTGCTTCGGTTCAGCCATTCACTATTCAGCAATGGGAAAAGAATCAACAGAACATTATAGACAAAGTATGTAAATACAACAAATACTATAATATTATATATAACTCTTAGTCACAAGTCAGTAGTGCTGTAAACGAACCAAACGAGCCGAGCTTGAGCGTTTTAAGCTCGTGTTCAAACAGTGTTCTTGTTCGTTCGTTTATTTTTCGAGCGAAAAATCGTGTTCGAGCTCGTTCATTTAATTGTTCATTAGAGTTCGAGTTCGTTCGTGTTCAAATAATCTAGGACATAAACTTTTTAAAAATAAAAAATCATGCAGGAAAGAAAACAGGCGATGATTTTACATGTATTGGGTGTTGATGGAAAGAGATTGCCCCGCGCGAAAGTTGTCGTAAAGCAAGTCGCTCGGGACTTCCCGTTCGGGACAGCCATTTCCGAGTTCATTCTTCGAAATCGAGCCTATCAGGTAAGATCAATCAAAATTCAAATGAAAGCCCAATGCAGCCCGATCGAAACCATATAATAATACATCTCGATTAACGATGGCTTATTTTCCGAGCAAAAAATCAGAAATGGTTTCTCGAGCGGTTCAATGCAGCCGTGTTCGAAAATGAGCTGAAATGGGACTTTACCGAGCGCAAGCAGGGGAAAGTCAACTACACGGTACCGGACAAAATGCTCGATTTTCTCCGAACAAACCAAGTCATGGCCCGGGCCCACAACGTGCTATGGGAGTCCCCAAACATGGTTCCCCCATGGATAAAAAATCTAACGGGCCCCGACCTGAAAAAAGCCGTCAAATCGAGAATAAAGAGCGTGATGTCGAAATACAAAGATGAGTTTGTGGACTGGGACGTAGACAATGAGATGCTGCCTTGGGATTTCTATGGGCCGAGGCTGGGCCCGAACGCCAGCCTGGAAATCTTCATGTTGGGCCAGGCGGCGGTCGGTCCGCTGGCTCACCTGTTCATGAACGAGTTCAACGTGATGGAAAACTGTGAC